ACCCAAAGTGAGCACTGGACGGGGTTGGAGGAGACGGGAGCCTGAGCTCGCGGTGTCGCCCCAAGGGCCGCCTGCAGTGCTCTGTGCCCCTGGGAAGGGGGCACGGGCGTGACGGCCATGGGTTGGCCCCCGCCCCACGGCCTAACCGTGTCCTGCACAGCGGTCATCTTTGCGGAGGTATAACGGCCACGCCGCAGCCCTCACCCGTCTCAGGGCACCGTTCGCTGATGTTTCAAAACGTCCACCGCAGTTGTGCAAACACCACGGTTCCACCTTCGATCCACTCGTCTCCCCCGAAGCACCCCAGGCCCACCCCAGCCTCCGGGAACCACGACCCCACTCTAGATTGCCTTCCGTGGGCACGCCAGTGGCAGGACCCGTGCTGTGCGGTCTCGGCTCAGCCATCCCATGGCGTGTGTGTCACCGCTTTGCTCCTCTGGCTTCCTCGCTCGTGAGCCGCTGGCCGGGGCGCGGTGAGGTCCTGACGGTGCGGCGCCTCCCGGGAGGGCTCATGGTCCTGCATGCCGTCCTGCGTGCCGGCCCGCGGCACGGCCTTGCTGCATCTGTGTCTGTGCTTGGCTTCGCTGAGAAAGTTCCCAGCTGCTTTGTCATCGCCTGCCCCTGGCCGCGGCCCTGCACGGGTGGGCGCGCCCCACTGGTGACCCGTGATAGCAAGCGTCCTGGCCGCGTTAGGGGCCGTTGTGCCTAGATCCCGCGGCAGGTGCGCCCTCCCCGTGCCCGGAGGCCGGTTGTGCATCTGTTTTAGAGAAATGTCTGTTCAAACACCTTGCCCACGTGTGAGTTGGGTCTTTTCTCCCATGGGCACGGAGGCTCCTGTGTCCTCCTGGACACGGGTCCTTCATGGGATCCCTCGTGGATGTTTCCTCCCCGCCTGTGACTCGTCTGCTTCCTCAGTTGTGTCGTCTGCAGGGCAGGACGGGGTTTAGATTTTACTCACTTATTCATGAGAGACACAGAGAGAGGAGAGATGCAGGCGGAGGGAGAAGCAGGCTCCCTGCTGGGAGCCCGACGCGGGACTCGATCCCAGGACCTGGGGTCACGCCCTGGGCCGAAGGCAGGCGCTCGCCACTGAGCCCCCCAGGGCCCCCAGGGCAGTTTTTAATGGAGATCATGCTGTGGGTGTTGGGGCTCAGAACTGCCTCCTGTTTTCTCTTAAAATGTCTCTGGTTCCCACTGTTGAGTTTGCCGTGCCCCACTTCGGGCAATGCTGTGTGTGAGAGCTGTGGCCCCGAAGCCCACCTGTGGCAGTTCGCACGCGGTAGAGACTTACAGGGTGTATTTTTAGGTAATTTCAAGTTAAAGTTTTGTTTTCCTGATATAATGATTCAGATGTTGCTATTTTTTTTTTTAAGATTTTATTTATTTATTCATGAGAGAGAGAGAGAGATAGGTAGAGGGAGAAGCAGGCTCCAAGCAGGGAGCCTGACGCGGGACTCAATCCAGGGTCCCCAGGATCACGCCCTGGGCTGAAGGTGACGCTGAACCACTGGGCCACCCGGGCTGCCCAGATGTTGCTATTTTATTGTAAAGCGGGGACACTTCTAGGAAATCGGGAAAACAGGGCAGCACAACAGCCGCCGTCCGCTGTCCTGGGAGCCACCCCGTGGGCGTCCAGGTGCCTCTGTGCCCTGGGGTTTGTGTTTGTGCCCTGTCGTTCCCTCACCACACGGCAGCCTCCCGCCCAGGGTCACATCTGATTCGACTAGCACGCCCTCATTTGCCCGCCGAGCCCCGGTCAGGCTGAGGCAGCTCCACGGCCTGGGCCCGGCTCCGATCACAGCATCTGCCAGCTCAGGCCTCCGGGCGGCTCCTCGCCGGGAGCTGACGTCTCCCATCGCTCCGCCGAGTCCTGACCCTCCCGCGAGCTGCGGCCTGGACCCGGCTGTGGACCGCGGCTGCGTCCAGCTCTGTGGGCACCAGCGCGGCTGCGCGTGTCCTTGTGCGTACAATCGCCTCTGGGGCGTGTCTGGGAGCAGGGGGCCGGGTGGCCTGCCCGAGCACTGCAGGGCCCCCCCCCCGTCCCCACTCCCCACTCCCTGCCGCCGGGGCCCCCGCTAACGCGCCGTGTGCTCTTCCTTTCAGGACTGGAAGGACCACCAGCACATGTGCGGCCAGTCGGCAGCCGTCACCGTCCAGGCAGACGAGGTTCACGTCACGGACAGCGTGATGGAGAAGGTCACCGTGTGAGCTGCAGGTCCCTCCACGGTGCCGCGGGGCTGCCGCAGGTTGGGGACCTCGGGGGACTTTAAGGAGAAGAAAACACTTGCTGGTCAAGTTGTTAACAGACTTTCAGTGACTGCGACGTCGGCAACGAGCTCCCGCCGCCCGGAAGCCTGAGGGAGGCCAGGGCAGCGGCTGGTGGACGCAGGCCCCGGCCCTCGGCGCCTTCTCACGGTGCTCTTTTTTACCGCCTGGATCGTGAGCATCTGGTCTCACCCCGGTGTGTCGTGTGCTGTGACACACATGTACATAACGTGTCTGTCAATAAAGCTGCCGTGACTCTGGCGCCAGCTTCCCGGGTGCCCAGCAGGTGGGCGGGCCTCGGGTCGGGTTCTCCTGACCCTGCTGTTTGGAGGTCGCAGCCCCCAGGCGTGGGGCCTGCCGGAGCGTCCTCCCTGCGGCCGAGGTGGGAGCGCGGCGTGGGCACCACCCCAGGTGCGTGGGCCACTCCTGTCCCGTCCCTGAAGCAACGGCACCAGGTTGGACCCCAGGGCGCTCGGGGGCCGGCACATTTGGGCCCTGGGAACAGGACCTGCCTCCCTGCTGACCAGCACTGGCGCCCGAGGACCAGTCCCCCACGTTCTGGAAGCTTCTGTTTCTGGAAATGCCCTCGAGGCTGTGGAACGCCTGACCCGCCGTCTCCCTGTTTCCCCGGGTCTCCCGAGGCTTGGAGCGAAGAAGGCCAAGACCCCCGTGGAGAGACGCACGTCCGTGGGTGGGCAAGCCAGCAGCTGCCAGGACCCTCTGCGAAGTCGCTTGGTTCCACGCTGACCTCAAGTTTCTGTGAGCCGTGTGCTCGGAGGTTGCCCCCAGCCCGGCACCCTCCCTGGACTCCTACTTCCAGAAAGTTTCAAGTCTGCAGAACCCTGGAGCCTTGGCTCTGGGACGCGGCCACAGCGGGGGCTGAGGGGGCCTGGGGCGTGGTAGGAAGGGGGTGTGAGTGCCCACAGGGCCTGGGCCCGCCCCCGCCCCCCCCAGCTCTGTGGACCACGGCGGCTTCTCGGGGTTTTCCTTTCCCAAGTGTAACACGTACCCGAGCCCTGCGCCCGCCGACGCCTCCCGAAGCTGAAGGCTGAGAAGTCTGCGCGGGGCCCAGGGTGAGGATGGGCGATGGGGCGCACACCGTCCCCCGCGGGGCACCCTCCTCATCACATGCCCGGGAGTCCGTTCCCACGGGTGGAACGAGCCGGAGGGGAGCACCTTGCACCTCTTCGCGGGTCCCTGGGTCCCCGGGTCCCCGGTGCGCTGAGCGTCGGGGCGGCAGGGAGAGGACCACGGGGGACCCGCACATCTGGAAATGCTCCAAACACGGACGGCCAGGCCGTCCCCGCCCTGGGGGCACTGGCGCTCCTCCTCCTGGCGCTGGGGGCCCTCGCGGGGGGCGGGGGGGGCCAGAGCTCGCCTCAGCCAGGGCATCATCTCAGGGTCATGAGCGCAAGCCCTGCCTCAGCCTCCGCGCAGAGCATGGAGCTACTTGAAATAAAAGGATGGAGCCCTCAGGACCGCACGTTCTGGGGACAGTTTTCCAAAGTGTGTGCTTTCCAGGCCTGTGGCGCCCTGGCTGCCCGTGGCTTCTGACAGCACCTCCCGCGGCCGTGGGGCGGGGGACGGGTCAGCACACCCGGGGCACTGGATCTTCGGGCCCAAGCTCCAGGGAGCTGTAGGCTGGGGTGACCCTTGGCCTCCGCAGGGGCGGCTGAGCGAGCTGGGTGGCTGGACGCCTCTCCCGGTTGGCCAGGCCTTCGTGGCTCTGCACGGACCACCCCCGCGCTGTGCACCTAGTCCCCTCCGGGGCCAGCGGGGATGGGACGGGGTCCCCAGCTCAGCCCCTGGGCACGTGCCGCTCACTGGCTCAGTCAGTCCTGCCCCCTGCGTACAGGTGACGACAAAGTGCCAGCAGTGGGCCGGCCGCGGTTGGGAGGTGGGCACAGCCGCCGGGCAGGGGTGATGGCACACCTCTGACTCCCTGCAGCGGCCCCCAGGTGCCCGTGGAGGGAGCAGCGGCCCAGCTCCGGGCAGGTGTCTGGGGCTCCTGCCTGTCCCTGCGGGGGACCCAGGGCGTCTGCGGCCACTGTCCTCATGCTTGGTGGGCACCAAGGTCCCAAGAGCTGCAGTCGCCACCAGAGCCAGGGTCCCTGGGTGCCCCCGGAGCCCTGAGCACTGCCAGGGGTGGGGAGGTGGTGCCGCTGTTGTGAGCTGGGGCCCCTCGGCCCATAATTGCTCGTGTTCAGGAGACAACTGCCTGGAAGCACAGACAGTGAGCGGCTGAGGGGCTGCCGCCGCCCCCTCCTGCCCAGGGGCAGCCTGGTGCCCCCTCCCCCCCCCCGGGGGAGGCTGCCTGGATGGGCCCACCCAGCGCGCAGCCCCATGTCCTCGCTCCTTCCACAGGGCCAGAGGGAAGCTGGCAGGAGCTGCGCTTAGCCAGGCGCAGCCTGTCCTCCCAGGGAAGGGGCAGCACCAGGACACTGCCCTGCGCTGCCCTGGACAGGCCTCCCCGCCCCAGCCCCACTGCGGGAGGAGCACTGGTGGGGGGAGGCCGCAGTGTGTCCAGGCTGTCACCGCGAGCCAGCCTGTGGGCAGCCTCTCCAGCTGAGTCCTGGCCTTCCCAAGGACGGCCAGCATGCTTCTGGAAGCTTCTCCGTGGGAGGGCCGAAGGGCCTGGGGCAGCCCCCCACCTCACCCTGGGGCAGGAACCAGCCTCCTGGGGTCTGTTCCCTGGGCTTCCGCAGGAGGACGAGGGGCCCAAGGGGGGTCTGGGTTTCCCGCGGAGCCCCCAGGCCGCCCCAGGTCCAGCCTTCCAGCAGGTGTTGAGGAAGGACCTGGTTCAATCAGCCGCACAGAGCCGCCCCCTCGGCGCCGAGGCCCTGCCCCCCAGGCCTGGCCAGGCCCTGCGGAGGGCGCGGGGGGCAGGGCCCCCCTCAGCAGCAGAGGCGAAGGGCCTTGCGGAAGACGGTGCGGAACTCGGCGTTGAACACGGTGTAGATGAGCGGGTTGAGGGCGCTGTTGACGTAGCCCAGCCAGGTGACAGCGCTGACCAGCCGCGGGGGCACGGGGCAGGCGGGGCACAGCGCCCGGGTGATGTGCACCACAAAGAAGGGCGTCCAGCACAGCAGGAAGGCGCCTGGGGGACGGGGCAGTGAGCGGGTCCCGCGGGCCCCCCCCGCCCCCCCCCCGCCCGGGCAGGCACCCACCGACCACCACGGGCAGGACCCTCATGGCCTTGCGCTCCCGGCCCGTGATCTTGGCGCGTCTCCGCTTGCGTGGCTGCCACGGGGGCTCCGCAGGGTCGGCGGCGGGGGGCGCGGCGGCGTCGGGGGCGGGGGGCGGGGGCAGGGGGTGGCGTCGGGGGTGTCATCGGGGGTGCCGTCCGGGCTGCCGTCGGGGCTGCCGTCGGGGGGCGGGGGGCCGGGGGTACCGTCGGGGGGTGGCGGGCCGGGGCCGCTGGGTCTGCGCGGTGTCCGGCCGTGCAGCTTGGCCCGACGCGCGGCCTCCCAGCGCCGCAGGCCCCGGAACGTGGCCCAGTAGAGCAGCAGCATGAGCGGGCAGGGCAGGAAGAAGGAGCACACGGACGAGTAGACCACGTAGTCGCGGTCCTCCAGGCGGCACACGGCGGGGTCGCGGCCGCGCGCGTCGTTGAGGCCGCACAGCACGGGCGCCGCCACCGCCGCCGACAGCAGCCACGTGGCGCCGATGAGCAGCAGCTGGCGGCCGCCCCCGCCCTGGCGGTTGTAGCTCAGCGGCACGGCCACGGCCACGAACCTGCGGGGGCGCAGTGAGGGCGGCGGGCCGCGGGGCGGGGCCTGGCGCGGGGCGGGGCGGGGCCTGGCGCGGGGCGGGGCGGGGCCTGGCGCGGCGCGGGGCGGGGCGGGGCCTGGCGCGGCGCGGGGCGGGGCCTGGCGAGGGGCGGGGCCGACGCGGGACGGCTCACCTGTCCACGCTGATGGCGCACAGGTTGAAGATGGAGGCGGTGCACAGCATCACGTCCATCGCCATGAGCGCGTCGCAGAGGCCGGGGCTGAACAGCCACACGCCGCCCTGGACCTGCGCCGCAAGGGGCCCGGGGTGGGGGCACGACACGCACGAGACCAGCCGGCCGCCCCCCAGCCCAGGAGCGCTCGCCGCCACCCGGGCCGCGCTCTGACGCCCAGCTTCCCGGGGGGCCGGAATGGGCCCGGGGTCCCGCCTGGCCGCCTTGCCACCGCGCTGGGCAGAGCCCCCCGTCCCCCTGGGAGGGCCCCCGGAGCAGGGGTGCAGGCGGTGGAGGACCCCAGTGTGATGCTGTGCTGGAGGCGGGCACCCCCTCCCGCAGGCTGCGGTCCTCCTGCCCCGGGACATGAGCCCCGCCGCGTCCCCCCGCCGCGGGGTGGCGAGAGTCGGCCTGTCTGGTTAAGCCCTGTCCCTGCGCTCGGACTCGACGGGTCCTCACTTTTGTGCCCTCATCTGTAAAATGAGGGTGACCATAGCACCACAAAACCGCCCTGAGAATAAATGAGTGAAGGGGTGCAGAGCCCCGCACGTGCCCAGCGCCCCCACCAAGGGCAACGAGCAGACAACCGCCCCCTCTAAATCCCCTGCCGCTAATTTGGGACGATTAGGAGCTTAAGGGCCGTCGCTGTGACGTCCGGCGGGGCTCGGGGGAGGGGCAGGCCCTGCGTGTCCTTGTCCTGCTAGTGACCCGGCGGCGCCCGCCTCGCCGCGTCCCCCCAGGGCGCTGAGCCCCTCCCGCAGCGCCCGGGCAGCGCGCTCCCGGCCCTGAGCAGCTCTTCCGCCCAACGGGCAGCAGCGCAGCAGGGCCGGCGGCGGGGGTCCCGCCAGGGCTTCGGGCCCGGCTCCCGGCGGGGGTAGGACGCCACCCCGTCCTTTGGGGTCCACTGTGAGGCGCGGGGGGCGCCCTGCTCCCTAACCCCGGCTCCTGGGGCCGCGTGCCCCTCCTGCTGTGGGCACAGCGCGTGTCGCGAGGGCTTCCCGGGGGCCCGGCCGCCTGCGCGCTCCTGCTCACGCTTGGCTGTGCTTTGTGCGGTGATGTGTGTCCCTGTGCCCCCGGGACAGCCGGGGCGGGGGGTGGCTCGACCCGAGTCTGCGCGTCCATCTGGCTCCCCGGGGAATGGAACCCCCGCCGGTGCAGGGGGGCGGCCCGACTGGCGGTGTCGCCCGTTTCTGAGCGCGCGGCTTGGAGGACGAGGACGTGTCGTTGGTAGGAGCCGCCGAGCAGGGCGAGGAGAGGGGGCGCGGGGCGGGCGCGGGGCGGGCTCACCTCGGAGTAGACGAACAGGGGCAGCACGAGGAGGGCGAGCAGGAGGTCGGCGGCCGCCAGGCTTACGATGAAGTAGTTGGTGGGCGTCTGCAGGGCGCGCTCGGCCGCCACGCTCGCGCACACGAGCGCGTTCCCCGCGAGCACGGCGCCGATGAGCAGCACGCCCCCCGCCAGCGCCGCCGCCGCGCCCGGTGTCCCCGGGATCCCCGCGCCCGGCCCGCGCCCCGCCAGCAGCCCGTCGGCGTCCGCGGCGCTGCGGTTCCCCATGGCCCCCGCCCGGCGGCCCGGCGGGCGCGCAGCCCCGGGACGGCGCCCTGGCCCCGCCCCCCGCCCCGCCCCGGGCGCCCCGCCCCCAACCCGCCTCCCCGGCCGGTCCCGGCGTTCGCGGGCCCCGCGCAGGTGGAAGGGGCGGCGCGGGGGGCGCGGGGGGCGCGGTGCCCCGCCGGGCTCGGGGTCCACGCGGTCCCGCCGCGCGACCGCTTCTCAGGGGCGGCCCAGGAGGCGCCTCCGGAGGGAGCCCTCCCCGCGCCCCGGCGCCCGTGCCTGAGCGTCCGCCCGCCTCGCCCGTGCGCCCCAGGCGGGCTGCCCTCCGCCGCCCCGACCCCGCAGGGCCCCCGGCGCCCGCGGCTCACTGCAGGGCCTTGGGCGAGACGGAGGAGGGCGCGCGGGGCCCGCTCTGGGAGCCCCGCCCCGCCCCGCCCACCCCGAGTCGCCGCTCCCCGCAGGCAGTCGAAGCGGGCTGCGCCCACCTGCCCACACACCCGGGCCCCGCGCAGGCCTGGGCGCAGCGGAGGCTCCGGGCCAGGTTCGCGGCGGCGCAGCGCGGCCGGGTGGGGCAGGTGGCGGGGTGGCCGTCCGCCGCGCGGGCTCACGCTGCGCTCCAGCCGGTTGCTACTGCGCGTCCTCATGGCCTCGGCTCCGGGGCGCGGGAGCCTGTCCCCGTTGGGGCCCACCCGCCGCGCATGGAGCCGCGTGCGCTCGGCCCTGGGGGGCAGCGGGGACGCGGGCGGGGGGGAGCGCAGAGCTCTTGCCAGGAACCCAGGAGCCTTCAGAGACAGCAGGGGACACCGGCCACCCCCTGGTGAGCCGCCCGGGTGTGTATGGAAGCAAGCGCCCTCGGGGGCTCGCCCTCTGTGCCCAAGGCTCCCTCTCAAATAAATAAATAAAATCTTAAAGAGAAAACAAGGATTCTGACCCCAAAATGCCATAATGAGGGTCACAAGGAGCAAAGTCCCTCCGGTCTGATGCAGGATAGGTGCGTGTCCAGGGGCATCTAGCTCCGAGGTGCATCCAGCGCCTCCTTCCCTGTGACCCACGGGTGCCGGACAAGGGAGGGGATGGTGCCCTCACAGGACAGACCCAAGGCAGGGCTGGCGCCCTGACTGCGGGTTACATGCCAAGCAGCGACTGTAGCCTAGCCTCTGACCCGCTTGCAGTTTCCTCTCTGTCCCCAGATGTCGGCCACCACTAAGCGGGAACAGGCAGTGTGGACCGGGATGGGATGTGTGCAGTGTAGACCTCTGACAAAGGGTGCAGGTCCACAATATACAAAAAGCTCCATCAAGTCATCAAGAAAAGACGGTCCAGTTTTTAACGAAGGCAAAGGTCCTGCAGAGGCACATTAGTAGACAGAGGGCTCCAGGGGCCAGTAAGCAGGGAGGGACAGCTTGACACCCCGTCATCGGGGAAATGGCAACAGAACTCACGGCGACTCGCCTCCACGTACTAAGATGGAAGGAGTCACATATGTGATGTGAAAATGCCTTCTCCCAGCTGGGACCTTGTCACTTCCTCCTTGACAGCAGATCCGATACCCCCCCCCCCCCGCCAAGCTGTGAGTCGGGGGCCCTTTCCGTTCCCTGCCCGGTGGGCCAGTCGCCTGAGCACTGTTTGTTGAAAAGACTGTGTCTCCGTTGGCTCGCTTTTCAGTTTCTGCCCCCAAAAGTCACTCGATCTTTGTGTGGGGCTCTTTTTTTTTTTAACCCTCGCCTGTGTTCCGTGAGCCACACGTCTAATGTCCGTCCTTGCAGAGTGACCTGCAGCCGTGACTCCTGCGGCCTCGTGGCCAGTGGGAACTCAGGCTCTGGGGCCGCAACCCTCGTTCCCGCAGGACTGTCCCGGCCGCCCTCATGCCTGGTCTGTGAGCCTGGCCCGGAGCCCCCGACTTGGGCACAACCCGCCTGCTGGGCATGTGACTCGGATTGCGCTGAATCTGTGCAACGAGTTTAGGGCGAAGTGACACCCGGGGCGCCGAGCCCCCCATCTGTGAGCACGTGTCTCCCTCTGAGGTCTCGCATCGCGTCCTTCATCTCCAGCCTACCGGGCTGCGCAGCCGAGGAGTTCGGGCTTCTGAGGGGCGGTAAATGGTTCTTTGGAGAAACGTCATTTCCGGGATCCCTGGGCGGCCCGGTCGGTTTAGCGTCTGCCCTCGGCCCAGGGCGTGATCCCGGGGTCCTGGGGTCGAGTCCTGCGTCGGGCTGCCTGCTTCTCCCCCGCCTCTGCTGTGCCCCTTGGTCATGCTCCCTCTCTCTTCCTCTCTCTGTGAAATAAATAAACTCTTAAAAAAAAAAAAAAAAAGAAAAAGGATCCCTGGGTGGCGCAGCGGTTTGGCGCCTGCCTTTGGCCCAGGGTGCGATCCTGGAGACCCGGGATCGAGTCCCACATCGGGCTCCCGGTGCATGGAGCCTGCTTCTCCCTCTGCCTGTGTCTCTGCCTCTCTCTCTCTCTCTGTGACTATCATAAATAAATAAAAATTAAAAAAAAAGAAAAAAAAAGAAAAGAAAACATAATTTCCAGTTGTTCACTGCTAACGTGTAGAAATACAGTCTTGGGGTGTTGACCTCATGCCCTTTGTTGTTGCTAAAACCCATTAATGCAAGGATTTTTCTTTTTTTTAGTTTTTTTCAGAATTTCTACATAGACGATTACCTTATGAGTAGAAACCACTTTATTTCTCCTTTTCTTATCTGGATGCCCCCCCTCCCTCCCTCCCTCTGTTCCCCTTATTTCAGCAAATGGAACTGAACATGATGTCGCTGGAGCGCCGAGCGCCAACATCTCCGCCCCGTTCTCCGCTTTCGGGGAAACTTCGGTCTCAGCACCAAGCGCCCTGGCAGCTGTGGGTTTCCCTTCCTCCTTGGGTTCAGGGAATTCCATCCTTGGGTTCCTGAGAGGCCGGGCCTGAGCAGGTGTCACATCGTCTGCCCGACGCGGCTGGTGTCTCCCCTGCGGCCGCTGCGGGCTGGACTCCACTGGCAGATGGCGCCGCGGGCTCCTGGGCCCCAGGGCCTGCCCCGTCCACGGGGCGGTTGCAGGGTGGGGGGAGCAGCGGCGGCTCCCTCGGGGTCGCTCCCACGCAGATCGGAGTGGGATCCACGCGGCCTGGGAGCCAGCAACCTGTCACCCAGATCCTGAGCTTGGTCTCAGGCCAGGTTGGGCAGCCGTCGTCGCGGGCACGGGTCCTCCAGGACCTCAGCCTTGGGGCCCAAGGGCTTTTTTTTTTTTTTAAGATTTTATTTATTTATTCATGAGAGACACACACAGAGAGAGGCAGAGACACAGGCAGAGGGAGAAGGAGGCTCCATGCAGGGACTTGGGACTTGATCCTGGGTCTCCAGTGTCATGCCCTGGGCTGCAGGTGGCGCTAAACCGCTGTGCCACTGGGGCTGCCCGGCCGAGGGCTTTATGTTCCCTTAGGGACCCTTCAAAAAAGATTGTATTTATTATTTCAGCGAGAGCGACAGTGAGAGAGACAGAGTGAGAGAGAGAGAAAGAGAGCGAGAGGGAGAGAGAGCAACAGCGACAGCGACAGAGCGAGAGAGAAAGCGAGAAAGGGAGAGAGCGAGAGTGAGCGAGAGCCAGGGAGAGCGAGAGAGAGAGAGAAGGACAGAGAGAGCGAGAGGGAAAGGGAATGAGAGAGAGCGAGAGGGGGAGAGCGAGAGTGACTAGCGACAGCGAGAGACAGAGAGCGAAGGAGAGAGAGGGAGAGAGCGAGAGAGCAGGAGAGCAACAGCGACAGAAGGAGAGCGAGAGAGCGAGTGTTGAAGGCTCCGGGGTCATGGGCTGTGTCTCTCCGCTCACTTCTGGCCGCGTGGCTCTGCCGACGGCTCGTAGGCCTCGGGCCCAGAGTCCAGGCTCCACTAAAGGCGAGTGAGGGAATTAGGGGCGATGGCACTGGTGGGGCTACACAGTTGAATACATCATTTTGTTTTTTAAGTCTACTTTTTTTAGTAAGCTCCACACCTACTGTGGGGCTTGAACCCATGACCCCGAGACCAAGAATCTCATGCTCCCCTGACTAAGCCAGCCAGGCATCCTCGAGGATGTATTTTTTAAAATTCGTAGAACCAGGCATCATAAAGAGTAGACATAGTAGTAAACTAAACTTCACAAAAATGTGATCCCAGGTATGCAGACAAAGGCTTTGGTGATGCTCAATAAAGGATGCAGAGCTGGGCAGCTCAGCCTGACACAAGGGTCCCCGAATCCCAGCCAGAGCCTCTGGACGTTAAAAGCTGGGATGTGCAGCCTTGAGGAGCACTCCATCCTTCTGGGACTGATGAGGATGTCCACGACCCTCCAGAATAGGACAGAAGCTGGAGCTGTCACGCTCGTGCTGACACAGGTGAAGCAGGTGTTGGAGCTGTTTTGTGACCATTTCCTGCAGGGTTTTTTTTTTATTATTTATGATAGTCACAGAGAGAGAGAGAGAGAGAGAGAGAGAGAGAGAGAGAGAGAGGCAGAGACACAGGCAGAGGGAGAAGCAGGCTCCATGCCCCGGGAGCCCGATGTGGGATTCAATCCCGGGTCTCCAGGATCGCACCCTGGGCCAAAGGCAGGAGCTAAACCGCTGCGCCACCCAGGGATCCCCTTCCTGCAGGGTTTTATGGGGTGTGTGGAACACTCAAGACACTATTTATTTGGCTTGCAAAAGTCGTTCAATAGTCTAAGAATCTCTCCTTAGTCAACAGAACAAGAAGACAATATCAGCAAAGCTGTAGAAGATTCTTTTTTTTTCAAGATTTTATTTATTTATTCATGAGAGACAGAGAACTACAGGCAGAGGTAGAAGCAGGCTCCTCACAGGGAGCCCGATGTGGGACTCAATCCCCGGACCCGGGATCATGCCCTGAGCCAAAGGCAGACGCCCAACCGCCGAGCCACCCAGGGTCCCGCTGTAGAAGATTCTGAACAACCATTATCCAAGGAGATACATGACATTTGTGGCACCGTCCATCCCACGACAGGGAAATACCCATTCTTTTCAG